CTCCTGGAATTTTGCGGCCCTCAGCGCGCTATTCCCGCTCCCATGATGTGATCTTTGTGCGTCCGAACTTCCGCTTGGGTGTCTTTGGTTTCCTCGCATTGGAGGCCCTCACCAAGGAGTCGCATCCGCACACCTCGGGCAACTATGCACTCACCGACATCATTGCAGCGCTTAAGTGGATCCAGCTGAATATCCGGAACTTCGGCGGCAATCCACAGTCTGTGACTCTGCTGGGCTACCGTGCAGGAGCAACGCTCGTCTCGGCTCTGGTCACCTCGAAGAAACTGGAGGGTCTGTACACGCGTGCCTGGGCCTCGTCCGCATCGGCCATTTTCCCAGGCAAACCGCTGCAGGAATCGGAACGCTTGAACCAGCAGATCATGGCCACTTTGGACTGTCAGGATGCGGCATGTCTGCGTGAAACATCCAGCGAGAAATTGTGGGCTGCCACGCCGGACACCTGGTTCCAATTCCCCGCCACGATTCCCCAAGCCCAAGAGCTGACCAATGCCAATCGTCACGAATGGCTGGTGCTGGATGGTGACATTCTCTATCAGCACCCATCTGAGTCCTGGAAACTGGCGCCGATCCCAACCAATGCCAATCAGCTGCATCAGCCACGCCTCGTGATGGGCTCCACTGCCCATGAGGCACACACCCTGAAGCTTCGTGAATTGCACGCCAACTGGACTGCCGAGGAAGTGCGTGAATATATACAAAACTCCCAACTGGGCGCACTCGGCTTGACCGATGAAATCATCAAGCGTTACAATGCCACCAACTATGCCGCTCTTGTGGCCATCATCACAGACATACGCACCGTTTGCCCGCTGTTGACGAATGCCCGCCTCCAGCCCACCGTTCCCTTCTATGTGGTCACCCAGGGTGAGGGCAGCGATAAGCTGGCCACCGTGGATGCCGATGTGCAGGCCATCCTCGGACGCTACGAGCCCCATACCGTTGAGCAGCGACGCTTTGTCTCGGCAATGCAGCAGCTGTTCTACTACTATGTCTCCCATGGAACGGTACAGTCGTTTGATACGCGTCGTCGCGTCATCATCGTAGAGCAGGATGCGCAGGCACAGGAGGATCACGATCACTGCAACTACTGGATCGGAAAGGATATTGTGCCGCGATTTGCGCGTGTCGATTAAGCAACAGAAAGATCCCTCCTATACCTAATCCCAAACCCAAGCCCAATCCTAACCTCAGTAATCTATGACAATGTTCGACGGTTTATTAACTGTCCTGTAAAAGTTAATTTTATCTTTCTCTCTCTCACACACTTTGTATCCGCCCCTTTTTAGAGTTTGTAGTGCTCTTTAGCTTTTCCAGTTTTCCCGATTTCATTATGAGTTTAGTTTAGCCTAAGTGAATCTAGTGTTTATATACGAATGTACATTTAGTTTCGACAATTATTTAAGTTGTAAGTTTTTAAGTGTAACGCATAACTCCACAGCAGCAAAATGCATCTAAGTATGCCTCTACTAAACATAAATATTAACATAAACATAAACATTAACATTAACATAAACATATACATACATGCATATATCTATGATAATGTATTCTTTAATCTTAACAACACACTCGAAACACACACAAATAAAACACGACAAAATATATTTGAACATATACTTGAAAAGTATAGACAAAACATCACGTCTTTCAACTATCCAAAACACAGGAACACACACTCTTTCACAAACTCTATAAAATAATTAGATATATATATATACATGTATATCACATATAGCTGGAGCGTTAAGCAAAACCTTTGACCAACGATCTTTTTTGATACAATTTTTACATAGCAATGGGGCGCCATAAAGACAAGACTCAATAAATAAACAATGAAAAATCAAAAAATCAAACAATGTAGATTTCGTAAGGCAAACAAACAGGAGAACGCATAAAAAATATTAAAAATATACATATATACAAAAAGAAAATATATAAACGTGTGTGTTTAACATTTGAGACTGTATGTACTATACATAGAGACATATATGTACTATAAAAAATCCATTTCGTTCCAAAATTCACTTGCCCAGACACACAATTTATATTTTCTATAGCTTTAAATGTATATTAGTCAAGCATTCAGCAAACTTAAATGTAAATTAAAAGACCATATTCATATTTTTTATTGTCTTTTACTGCGTTTTTTCATCAATGTTTTTTTTACTTTTCGAATATACTCAAATATCGAAATAATTTAGGTAAACGTATATGTAATTTGCACATTGATACAAAAGAAAAAGAAAAGATCTTAAATTAATTAGACACAAAATAAAAAAGAAGAAAATTAAAATCAAAAAGGCTCTGCAAAAATAAATAGCATTTAGCATTATGGTCAAGATCTGTGTGTTCAAGTGATACAAATAATAATGATTAAATGAATATAGTACTTCTATTTCAAGTTTGTGTCTCAAAAGCAAGCATGAGAATGTTTAAATAAAAAACCATAATGAAATATAACTCTTAATTGTTTAACTTTTAACTAGTCACTAGCTAATCCTGCTTAAAAACTTTGGAATGTCACAGCCTTGGCGACAGCAACAGATAATCAGCATTCTCTTTAATTTCTGCTGCTGTTGACCTTATAGATGCGACATTTGTTATCCGTTAGGGCGGCCAAATAGGAGCCAGCCGACGTGTTCACTGGACAGATGTCGTAGACAACCTCATTCACCGGCATCGTTTGGACGCGTTCCTCTCTCCGTACATCGTACATCATTAGCTGTTTGTTGTCCTGCAAGTAGCCAACGACCAGCGTATTATCCTCCACGCCCAGCTGTGTGGGTCGTGTCATATAGGGCGTGGCAGTGGAGCCAAATATTGTTGCTTTTACTTGCAGCACTGGTACGCCATCAATTTTGTCCAGTTTGGTGAGTATGAAACGCGACTGGGGGTAATTGGCATTGGAACGTGCTGAGAAGAGCACCGTGTCCTGCAGCACATCATATTGCATAGATAGGAAGGGCCCCTCGACATTGAGGCGGGTGGGCACGGCCGTATCACTGGCATACTCATAAAATTTCACTACAGTCAGCTGGCAGACCAGAAATCCACCGTTGGTGAACACCTTGCCCGCGGGCACGGCAGCTATGTTTATCACAGGACTAAAGTTTTCTGTAAAAAAAGATCAGCATTAAAAGAGACGTAAGAAGGGATTCGCTGTTGGCTTACCCTCAGATTGAAACTCGCTGAGGATCGTCTCCGGGAAGCGCATATCGAATACATAGACCCCACCCCTAAGGTCGCCCGCATAGAGAAAATGTTCACGCTCGTTGCGATCCACTCCACAAGACCAGAGCGGTTTGTCATTGGCCGTGAACATGTTGCTGCATAGGCGGGTGCGCACGTCGAAGGTCTTGATGCGGGTCTCACGACTGGCCACGGTCAGCAGGCGCTGACTCTCGCTAAAGCCAATGTCTCGCACTAGCAACGCCGAGGTGTGCAGAAAATGCAGTGGTTTGAAGCTTGGCGGATCGATGAAGCGAACGCCGTAGCCCGGAAACAGATTTTGTGCACTCTTCTGCGAGGCAATCAACGTCGATTGCGCAGCCGAGTAAAGCAACACACGGCAGCCAGGCTCTCGTGTTATTTCAAAGTTCTTCTCCATATAGAGTCGATGGCTAGGCAATTGGTTGATGCTCTTCAATGTACTTCCACTGTCATCATTGTAAGCTCCACGGCAGCCGCCACCAGCGCGCACCATCTGGCGCAGTCTGTCGTAGTCAAGCTGTAGGGCATTCATCTTGTTGACTGTGAGGGAGTGCGACATTTTAACTGTGGCTAGTTCCGTTGTAAGCGCTTGACTACGTCTCCGCTCCGCTTCTAGCTCCCTGCGCATGTCGTGCTCCTCCGTGCGGTCGATGGCCCGCACTCGCTTCGCATAGAGGCAGCGTATGTCTCGATTGGCAGCCTTTGACTTGCATTGTGGACACACTTTAACTGCCGACTGTCGTTGGCTCTCGATCAGCCAACGTCGTATGCAGGATTCACCAAAGAGATGACCGCAGCGCAAAGATACCAAACGATGCTCACCGCTCATTTCCCATGACTCCAGGCATATGGGGCACGTCATACCGTCATCCTCATCGTCTTCATTTGAGGATGCCTTGGCTACTGGCGTACCAACCATATTGTTGGCGGCATTAGACAGACGCTTACGTTTCTTAGGCGGCGACGGAGAGTCAAGATTAATAATGCCATCTTCTTGTTGCTCTGCTCTGCGGGATGTTGTAGGCTGCTCTGCATTTGCTTCTACCACAGCAGCTATCTCCTGTTCAACAGCAGGCTGCTCCTCGTTGTCTGCAGGTTCGGGTTCGGCTGCCACTTCTAGCTCATCGGCCTCTGGCTCGTCAGCCACTTCTCGCTCATCAGCCGCTTCTGGCTCATCAGCCGCTTCTGGCTCATCAGACGCTCCTTGCTCATCGAGCCCTTCCGGCTCTACATCTTCATCATCATCCATAGGCAGCACATCTACACTGCGCCGCTGCGCAATTGGCTCTATATTGACCTCTTGTTCTTCAGGTGCTGCGTCGACCATCTCTTGCAAATTATTAGGGTCCAGATTCTGAGTTGGTCCAATACGCTGATATCTACGCGAACGGTTCAGAAAAACAGGCTGAAAATCCTGGCTGTCCGCATCCTGCTCAGCAGCATCCGAGTCACTGTCACTCATGATTTATATTTGGTAAATTTATCAAGCTTGGTGGATGCTAGCCAGCGACGTTTAAATAAAAATTTAAACTATGTCGCTATGGGTTTAGCATTATGTTGCATTTACTTGTTCTGTTGTTGATTGTAATAACATTGATATAGCGCGTTGATTTTATATGCCTAAAGATGCGACATCTGGCAACTCCATACGTCTGGCAGCACTGGCATTGACCGAAATGAGTATATTGACAGAAGTATCGATATTTTGCGAAACATTTCAACGCTGTAGACGCCATTCATTTTTGGTTTTGTAAAGGAAAGAACGATTTCATTGCTTATTGGTAATAAAGTACCAATAAAACGCCGAAATCACCGTAATCCTTGTGAAAATAAAATACTTTGTAAGTGTCTAATACGGTCACGCTGCTTTAAATGAGCATCTTTGCCGGCAATCATATTTCGTATTCCGGCAAATAAATTGCATCAGTATTAGTGACTGGATACAAATCGCAAATCCCCAGGCACACAGTGAAATATTTTCGAAAACTCGAAAATTTTGCAGGCGCTAAAGCACGCAACGCACTGCACACTGCCCATTTGTTTGGTAAGTGACAATTCGTGTACTTTTTGTAAGAGCAACGCAATTTGCTGACTAACCGCTCTGTCCTTGAACTCGACAGACTTGGCTGCTGTCCATTTCAGCGAGAAATCTAAACACACGCGAAGCAAAGCGAAAGCCGACGCCGCCGACGCGCCAATTTAACTTCAATACATACATACAATATAGTAAATCATTCCTTTGCTGATCCGCTAACAGGAAAATACACTAGCCATGGCCGACGCAAAAACACCTGAAAAGATGCTGTCCGCTAAACCACCGGTGTATCATCCAAATAGCCATAGTCCAAATGCTACGCTCCAGCTGCCGAGTCCCATCATCACGCGGCGCACACGCACGGCCTCGACGTAAGTCGCTCCATCCCTATCCTTCTCTCTCTCTCTCTCTCTTTCTCTCGCTCTGCTTTTAGCCTAGCATACCCGACCTTCTCATCTGGCATTGATTTAATTGTCTGCTCCTCCTTCTCCTTTTTGCTTGCACAAACACGCGCGCGCACTTTTACAAAACACAACCAACAACAACAAAAACAGCTCAGCGCGTGCCATGGAAAATCCAATGGTTGCCGGTGTTGTGAAATCCTTTAGCCGCACTAAAGGACACGGCTTCATCACGCCGCACGACGGCGGCGAGGACGTTTTTTGCCATGTTTCCGAGTAAGTTCATTAAATACGTTGACTTCAAAGTTTCTACACGCAATTTTACACCTTAAATTCATTTTGCAATAGCATCGAAGGCGAATATGTGCCCATGCCTGGCGACGAGGTCAAATATCGCCTCTGCGCCATTCCGCCCAAGTTTGAGAAACACCAGGCCGTGCACGTGCAGATAAGCAATTTGACGCCCGAAGTGCACCACAAGTGGGAGGAACCCGTCTTCTGTGGCTCTCCTGCCAAATAGATACTCGCTTCTGTAAAGGCCTTCCACAAAATTTAATTAACTGGAGCACGCAGCAGGAAAACAGAAAACAATGAAAACAATATTAAATAACAATAAACAGTTGGCCAGCGAACGCCGATCAAGACAAACAGAATGAGATAAAAACAACAGCAAATGAAAGCATACAAAACGACTTAATCAATTGTACGTCACACAGCCAGCCAGCCAGCCAGTTTCAATTAAGTCTTTATTATTATTAAGCTAAGCAAAAAAAATATATATTTAACTTTTGTCACAATTGTGTTAGACTTTTTTGAAAAGACCAGTTTGAAGATTTGTAATGGATTCGTCTTGTAATCTGGAATATTGTTATTAAATATCGAGAAATTTCTCGATGGTTTGATTTGGAGCCTGTAACAGTATATGAAAGCTTAATTTTGAATCATATTGAATTATCTAATTTGTAAACGCAAAGCAAAGCAAATGACCGAATATCTTTATTACTAAAAAAAAATAAAAAAGCTGAAATTTTCAATATTTGTAATTTCTTGTTTGCATTTGGAACAATGGCCTTATCAGTGCGTTCAAAAAGCTATTTATTAATATGTATGTGTACATATGCATGTGGGGGTAAATATTTTGAAGAGCAAAAAGTGGTATCTAAAAACCGGTTGTGAAATGAGCTTTGCAGGTTAATCGATTTATCGATACTCTCACTGGCTTTCGATACGTTCGATGTTGGTCGAGCGAATCGTTTYGCTAAATATGAATAGTACTTGAATCAGGCGAAACGCGAACGTCAACAAACCAGCGCCACATCGTCATACAATGATATAAATCGCTGAAATAAATTTGATTAAATAAATTGATTTGAAGTTTGGTTCAGAAGGTTTAGAAAAAATTAATTTTTTTTTGGAAACCCGTTGCTTACATTAGCCACCTTTAACTGACGTGGACCTGCAGCTGTTGTTGTTTTTTCTTTGCTGCTGATTAGAGACGCAGCTAAGGTGAGAGCGCAAATGAAATAATGAGTTAAAACATGCATAACACATTTCATTGTCCGTCAATTTGCAGACAACAACATGTCCGCTCGCCGTCGGGGTCAAGCCCATGACGAGCAAACGCTCGTCGAAACCATGGCACAGGGAGACACAGAAGAGAAGCCTGATTTGCGGGGCGATAGGCGTAACATAGCCATATTGCTGTTCCTGTACGTGCTGCAAGGCATTCCCATTGGCTTGATTGCTGCTGTGCCCATGCTACTCCAGAATCGAGGCGCCAGCTACAAACAGCAGGCGGAGTTCTCGTTCGCCTATTGGCCATTCAGCATCAAGCTGCTGTGGGCACCCATTGTGGACTCACTGTACGTGCGACGTTTCGGTCGTCGCAAATCGTGGCTGGTTCCTGTGCAGTATTTGTTGGGCTTCTTTATGCTGCTGTTGTCGGCGCACGTGGATCGTTGGCTGGGTGGCAAAGACCTGGAGCCGAATGTGCCATTACTAACGCTCTTGTTTTTTGTGCTGAACTTTTTGGCCGCCACGCAGGACATCGCGGTCGACGGCTGGGCTCTGACTATGCTGAAACGTTGTAATGTGGGCTACGCTTCCACCTGCAATAGTGTGGGCCAAACGGCTGGCTACTTCTTGGGCTATGTGGTGTTCATTGCTCTGGAATCGAAGGACTTTTGCAACACATATTTGCGATCTGAGCCAGGCGATGCGGGCATGGTTACCCTGCCACGTTTCCTCTGGTTCTGGGGCATCACATTCATCGTGGCAACCACTCTGGTGGCAATATTCAAACGAGAGAACGATGTCGAAGACGCTCACACCGATGCACGCTACAAGGAGGAGCACGAACTTAGCATACACGAAAGCTACAGGGTCCTCTGGGATATGGTTCGCAAGCGACCCGTACAGATTTTAGCTGGCATTCTGCTCACCGTAAAAGTAACATTCGCTGCCTCCGATGCGGTTACCTCGCTGAAACTCATCGATGCCGGCGTGCCCAAGGAGAAGTTAGCCCTGCTGGCTATTCCCGTGATTCCACTTCAACTTATCTTGCCCCTCATAGTGGGCAAATATACCAACGGTCCCCGTCCACTGGATGTGTACCTAAAGGCAATACCCTATCGTATCGTGTTTGCGACTGTGGCTTCGCTTATTGCTTATGCCACTCCCTATTTGATTTCCGGCGGCGAGGTGCCCGTCTACTACTATGTGCTTCTTGTTTTCAGTTATGGCTGTTATCAGGTATTCCTGTACTCAATGTTTGTGGCCGCCATGGCGTTCTTTGCCAAGATATCGGATCCTGCCGTTGGTGGCACCTACATGACATTCCTAAATACATTGTGCAATCTTGGCGGCAATTGGCCGAATACGGTGGTGCTTTGGCTAGTGGACGTACTAACTATAAAGCAGTGCACCACACAACCCGAAAACCTATGCGAGGATAAGGAAGAACAGCTGGCAAGTCTCCTTCATTACAATCCACCTATCTGCATATTCAATAATTTCGCCTTTTTTTCTTTCAGGCCTGTTCCTCAGCTTCTGGCACTTGCGAGATCATATTTGATGGCTACTACTTGGAAGCGGCTGTGTGTGTGATATATGGAATCATTTGGCTGGCGGTGGTGCGCAAATGGATAGTCCGCCTGCAGAATTTGCCGACCAAGGCCTGGATGGTAGTCAAACCATCCGCATACAGGAATAAAATGAGGTAGCAATTAATCGTCTGATCTTCATTCTGCGCTACGCGCACAGTCATTGGTACAAGAAGYTATACATAGAAATCTAGGACTAGGACTAGGACCTATCTGCATTGTAAGCTAGGCGAGATGTAAATTGTTAATGAGCTATGCCCAACCCTCCGTATTGTGTTAAATAACTTATTCCGCGTGGAAATTAAATTAAATTCAATGTTTAGCATAAAAATAAAATTTTGGATATATATCTATGCATGGGTGTGGGCAATAAGAAAGGATATTCTGGCTGCGAATAGAGATGTTGTTTTATTCGCGCCATGTGGCGTAACATTGGTTTTCTACAAATCGTTATTGGCATAATTGCCGGCGTTTTGAAATACAAAAAATACGAGTTTATCTTATGCTTAATAGTACTTCCAGGAGTCAATGGATTCTTGATTCTTTTGTTTGCTCTTGCGTTCAATCAGACCCGCCAAATGCTCTGAGCGCATGGACAGCGAGTCAATCTTCTCCACCAGCTGCTGATAAGGACTTAGTGGCTGTGTACCCATTACGACGTGGCCAAGTTTCGAATCGATCTTTGCATTGAGACGAGCATTACGTATAAGGTTGACAATCCAGCATTCGGCCTCGTTGGGCTTCATATTCAACTTGTCAGCGAGCATGCTTATGGTGATGCACTGATGGATGCGACAGAATGTTTCGAAGATCATCAGACGCGCATCCTCCACGAATTCGTTGAGGCAGGCGACAATGAAGAAGTCATTCAAAATGACTGTTTGACACTCGTGCAACTTGAGGCGTGCGCCTTCAAAGTCAAAGTTTACGTAGAGGCACTCGAGGAACTCGGTGATGGGATCACGATACGTGTACGACTCCTGCTGTATGACCTTAATCAAATCCTTGAGAGCATTGCGACGAGTGCGATTGATGACTACGGCGGTGGCCAAGTAGCGCATAATGTGTGGGCACATCGTCTGTATAGCATTCAGATACAGTGGCTTATACAGGAACATCTCAATGATGAGGTCACGGCCCTTTGGATGATTGAAGAACACCAACACGGACCAGTGGATCAACCAGGTGCGCTGCTGCAGCGCTTGAATGGTCGAGAAATTTGCGCTATCAATGTAGTCACGCAGACGCGTCAAATCCTCAAGTGCGGTATTCCAGTTGAGAGTCAGAATCTCAGCGGCCAACTTGCCCCACAACACATTCAGATAGTTCTGCAAGGATGACAAATAAGACACCAGACCTAAAGATAAATGCATTTTACTTACCTTATCATTTGGCGACATGACAATAAGGCAGAAATACAAGTATGATGTAGATTCCTGGTAGTTGCCGCACTCATACAAGTATTTCGCCAGCTTGTAGGCACTCTCCAGGTGCTCCACCTTGAAATTGTAGTCCTTCTGCAGAGCATTCACAAAAGTCTTCGAGTCCTTCATGCTCTCGCCGTTCTTCAGAATGTCGGTGGCCTTCATGATGGGCGCCACCTCGTTTTGCAGCTGCTTCAATGTAGCCAACACCTCGGCCTTGCGCTGCACAAGCTCTTCCGGCATCTCCTGGCTGAGATTAAGACGCTTGCGTGTGTCCATGGTGTAATCAATCATGTTCGTCTTGTTCACCGTCTCCAGAATATACTCCAGCAGCTCCTGCTGATTGTAGATCTGCGGAACATAGGTAAATTACGAAAATTATAGTCATTTGTGAAGAATTTGACATTTGATGACGGTGACACGAAGCAATGAATTTTTCTAACCTCCTTGCCGCATAAAAACTCCAGCAGTGGGAAAGTCAAATGTCTGTCCAGATATTGACAATTGATGCGTGTTAGATCAAATTGTGCCATGATTGCAACTGTATTTTCACTATTTTATCAACAAATTACTATTAATTTCCACACAAAATCTGCACAAAAATACGCGTGCGAAAGACGCACAGTGCTGCCCTATGGCGAAAAGAAATGTTATTTTTATGTTTTTAGCATGTAAGCACTGACAAGAGGCAATATTGTTTTTGAACATCGATAGCCGGGTGACTATACGATATTTTACGTATATCGATACAGAGATTCATGCTATAGCAGTCAGCTTTCCCTCACATCACATTTGCGCGGCAGATAAAAAGCTCTTTGAATTTTTGCTTGCAACACTTTAATATATTTAATACTTCACCATTTGAATTCACATATTTGCTTGTATATATAGGTGTACATTGATGTGAATAATCTTTTTGTTAAATATATATATGTATATATATGGATTAATTATGGTATCTTGCCAAGGGGTCATTAAACGTACGGCATTAAAAATACCAATATTTTTGTTTTGTTAATACATATTGTAAATAGTTTATAGAGGTACTTTGCAATTAACGATCAGTTTTAGCTCAAAAAACAAACAACACCTACAAATGCAATTCGATATAAGCTGAGAAAACTGCAGAAATATAAATATACGTGCTCAGTGCCAATATTACTTGTAGTTTTGTTAATTGAAGGAATCAGCATACCAACTTTTGGCTAAATTCTCGAAACAGAAAGCGAGTAAGTACAATATTTATAAGAAACACAAATGCATATCTAATATGTGATATTATATGTTGTTTGTTTTTGTTGTTGATTTTTATAACGCTTTAACGGTAATTTCTAGTTATTGTCCTTTGAATATGGATATTTTTAGACCCAACATTTGGGGTTTTCTGAAATTTTCGACACATTTTGTTTTGCACTCATAATTGACTCTCTCATTTCGTATCAAAGTCTTGGAGGGCATCGCAGCTACTGGAGTGGCCAGGAGCGCATTGTGGGCGTGGCGCCGTCAAAAACAAAAATAAAACGATAATTAAAAGGTATTTAATATGTAGTGTAAAAAACTGAAGTCTTTTTTAGAGTAAACTAAACTAAAATCGCGAAAATAAAAATCACAAATTCTAATTAGGTTCTCAAAATGAAAACCATACGAATTGTTCTATGCTAAGGACGACGCACGCACACAGACAGAAGACAGACACCCCGCATCACTATCCAGCATCACATCTTTAGGTACTTAGTATCTGGGTACTGTTGGATTAATGACACCGCCAGGTCCAGGCAAGCCGCTGGGTTTGCCCGTTAGGTAGGAATCCACTTGACGCGCCGCCTGACGACCCTCCGTAATGGCCCATACCACCAACGACTGACCACGCCGGCAATCTGCAAAGCAGAATATTTTAAAATTATTCGTTTTCCATGCCACCTCAATCAGTTCCACTTACCGCCTGCTGCGAACACCTTGGGATTGGAGGTGCCATACTGTCCGTTGCATGCTTTTATGTTACCGCGAGGATCCAGCTCCAGACCCAGCTCATTGGGCACCGTCTTCTCCGGCCCAAGGAAGCCCATGGCCAGCAGAATCAGATCAGCTGGGAAGTATTTCTCCGAGCCTGCTACCTCCTGCATGCGCCATGCGCCCGTCTCTGTCTTGGTCCACTCCACCTCGACAGTGTGCACTCCCTTAATATGCCCATTCTCACCCACAAACTCCTTGGTTGTGGTGCAGTATTGACGAGGATCTTTGCCCCACTTGAGGCGCACCTCCTCATGGCCGTAGTCCACACGGAATACCTTGGGCCACTGTGGCCAGGGATTGTCGTCGGCACGCTTTGCTGGAGGCTCTGGCAAAATCTCGAATGTGGTAATGCTCTTTGCACCCTGACGCAATGAGGTTGCAATGCAATCGCAGCCGGTGTCACCGCCACCAATAATGATGACATCCTTGCCCTCGGCTGAAATGATCTCTTTCTTGCCGCCCAGCTGCTTCTTCTGCTGCGCCTCGAGGAACTCCATGGCAAAGTGAATGCCCTGCAGATCGCGATTGGCCAAAGGCAAGTCGCGCGGCCAGGTAGAGCCAGTGGTTAACAACACCGCATCATAGCTGTAAAGTGGAAAAGGTGTTTTGAGGATTTCAATCAGAGCCTATGCATATATGACTTACCTCTGCACCAACTTCTCTGCGCTAGTATCCTTGCCAATGTGCACATTGGTACGGAACTCAATGCCCTCATCGGCCATGAGATCCACACGCCGCTTGACCACCTCCTTGGATAACTTCATGGTTGGAATGCCGTACTGCAGCAGACCTCCGACACGATCGTTGCGCTCAAAGACCGTGACAAAGTGTCCGGCACGGTTGAGCTGCTGAGCAGCAGCCAGGCCGGAGGGACCGGAGCCCACAATGGCCACTCGCTTGCCGGTGCGCGTCTCTGGTATCTCGGCCTTGATCCAGCCCTGCTCGAAGGCATGATCGATTATGGCGCACTCGATATTCTTGATGGTCACTGCTGGTTCCGAGATGCCCAGCACGCAGGAGCCCTCGCAGGGAGCTGGGCAGACGCGACCCGTAAATTCGGGGAAGTTATTGGTCTGGAGCAACTGTCGCAATGCCTCCTGCCATTCGCCGTGGAAGACCAGATCGTTCCACTTGGGTATGATGTTGCCCAACGGACAGCCCGTGGAGTTCGACTGACAGAAGGGTACACCGCACTCCATGCAACGGGCTGCCTGCATCTTCAAGTTCTTGCGCACATGTGGGAAATTGTAGACCTCATCCCAATCCTTCTGGCGAGTGCCTGCATCGCGATATGGAGCCGCCTCGCGCTTGTACTTGACAAAGCCGTGCAGCTTGTCCAGCACACGATCAGCACGCTTCTGTTCCAGTGCCACATCCTGAATGGCTTCTTCGATGTCCTTGATGTGCGGCTCATGTTTGCCGTTACCATTCTCAACAGCTGCCACCTTGGCGGGCTGCTCCTGTGCCGCCTGCTCAGCCAGGTCCTTTAGGGCCTTCTGGTATTCGTATGGGAAGACCTTAACAAATTTCGCCTGCTCTTGTGCCCAGTTATCGAGCAGTTCCTTGGCCACCTTCGAGCCGGTCTTCTCGATGAAGTCAGTCAGGAGCCGCTTGACCAGCGACACATCTTCGTCCAACTGCAACGGCAACAGCTCAACTGATTCTGGATTGACCTTGGGCTTGAAGGAACCATCAATATCATAGACATAGGCAATGCCACCGGACATGCCCGCTGCGAAATTGCGTCCAGTCAAGCCAAGGATAACAACCAATCCACCAGTCATGTATTCGCAGCCGTGATCACCCACACCCTCCACGACGGCAGTCACGCCTGAATTGCGCACACAGAACCGCTCAGCAGCAATGCCTCGGAAATAGGCAGTGCCCTCGGTGGCGCCATAGAGGCACACATTGCCCACAATCACATTCAGATGCGACTCGAACGGTGCGGTGTCTGGTGGCATGATGACTACATTGCCACCACAGAGGCCCTTGCCGACATAATCGTTGGCATCGCCCTTAAGTGTCACATTGACGCCACGTGCCAAGAAGGCGCAGAAGCTCTGACCAGCCGAGCCCTCGAGGAAGATATCAATGCTCTTTCCAGCAGGCAGACCAGCCTCGCCATATTTACAGGCAATGTGATAGCTCAGCGTAGAGCCAAACGCACGCTCTTCGTTGTGTATGGCCATGTTGATGGTGATGTTGTCCCGGCTGCCGTTAAAGATTTGCTGAGCCTGCTCGATCAACTTGTTATCGGAACGCTTTTCCAATTGGAAGTCCTGCTTCACCGAGCCGCCGACAATGTTTGTGCCTGGGCGCAGCTCTAGCGCTGGCTGCAGCAACAGCTTGAGATCCAAATTGCTTGCTTTGATTCCCCGATGGCTGGACATGCGTAGCAGATCGGTTCGTCCAATCAGGTCCTGGAACTTGCGGATGCCCAGATTGGCCATAATTTGGCGGATCTGAAAATGACGAGGGATTAGCATAAGGCACAGAGAAACTCAACTTTGAGTGTCACACTCACATCCTCAGCTAGCATGAAGAAGAAGTTAATGACATGCTCCGGTTTGCCGGTGAATTTCTTGCGCAGCACCGGATCCTGTGTGGCAATGCCCACGGGACAGGTATTCAAATGACACTTGCGCATCATGGTACAGCCTAAGAAAAGGTATAAGAGATTAAGGAACATTGCAGAGGGAAATAGTTAGCCTACCCATAACAATCAAGGGAGCTGTGCTGAAGCCAAACTCATCGGCGCCAAGCAGAGCAGCAACAACCACATCGAAGCCCGTGCGCAGTTGACCATCAGCCTGAACGACGACCCTGCACATCCACAAGCGATCCATGGGAGTAGGAAGATATGACATAGAAAGGAATGCAATGTTAATTGGATACTCAAAATCGAGATTAATGTAATGAGAAGAAATTACGAATGGAGCACAGCGCGGCGCGACGATCGTGCGAGCGAGCAAGTGAGTAGATGGCACCGATCGATGGTTCTTTTCGGTTCGGTTCGGTTTGGATCGGATCGGATCGGATCAGTTCGGTTCGGATCATAATCAATATCATTTCGGTTTGTATTTTGTCTGAATTGGACATGTGGCATGTGTGTGTAGATGGATTGTGTGTGAGCAATCTGGCTATATATACATATATATATCTCGATATATCCGTTGATCTCATGATCATTGACTGAATTTTGAGTATGAAAGACAGCGGCATTAACGACATCATCGAGCTATATGCAATGTTATGTGTAGGTTTATATGTATGGATCACCTTCCTTTATCCGGCTTGCCTCACACACAGATCTGTGGATCAATCCGTTCGATCGTTTCTCTTTAAACTCAATTCTCAATCTCTGTTTATCAACGAGCTCAATAATCTCAATACGTTTTCCAACGCTGTCATCTGGATAACCAGGCTCTTCTTCAGTAATATGTTTCTTTCATGATTAGTAACAAGTGGGGGTTGGGGAACGTGGAACGTGCCCCAGGGGTCTGTTGGTCGAAAACTTACCTTGATCGTAGATTATTCAAAACAAGTACTTGGTGCGTCTCTGCAATTCCAAGCTCCCAGGGCAGGCCAGCATTCTTAATGCCCGTCCAGGAGCTGGCACCGGTGCCGCCA